CGGGAAGAAGGGGTGAGAGCGTGCCGGGGCTGGCTGTGTTGCCAGGATACTGGCCCGCACGCTCCTCCCTCCCTCCCTCCTTCCCTCCCTCCGCACCTCAGGGCCCCTGCCCTGGAGACCTTGGGGCCTAGGCTGGCAGCAGTTGCAGAAACTGGGGACCCGCTCCCCACTCAACTGGGCGGGTGGGGTGGAACCACGCGAGGGAGTGGCTGGGAGGAGGGACCGCTTAATCTTAAGTCCTCCCTCCCCTCCTCCGCAGGCCGGAGGGCAGGGGAGGGCGCCCCCATCTGGCGGAGGCATGGAGAGGGGGAGGAGGCCAGGCTGGGCAGGAGGCTGAGGGATAGAGGGCGGGGCTGGGGAGGGGATGCTCCCGGGCCCCCCCTCATACGTACCCCCCTTGCTACGTCAGAACCTCCCGAGTCCCGTCGGTGGGGGCAGCAGGATGCTGGTGGAGGCAGAGAGGGCCGGCCGGGTGCCTCTGCAGCTCTACTGGCAGGGCCCGGTGGGGCGTGTGCTGCTGCAGCTGCTGCTCCGTGCCCCCCTGCCCCACGCCTCCCCATGCAGCCCTGGCAGTGCCTCCGGCGCTTTGCCCTGGCCTGGTGGGAGAGGACGGCCGAGGGCAGCGCCCGCTCTCCCCGAGAGGAGGCTGGACCCAGGGACCACAGGGGCCGAGGGGAACCAGGTGAGCAGGAGCTGGGATGGATGTGCAAGGAGGAGGTCCTAGGCTGTCCTTCCCAGCACCCCCAAATACTGTGGGACCAGGAGGTCCTGCTGCTTCTCAACTTTAAGGGAAATGGGTTCCCCTTGAGCTGGGGGTCCTGACTGAGACCCTTCAGAAGGTGGTAGGAGAGACTGTTACCAGGAACAGCCTGAAAAAGGTGAGGGCTTGGAGTGGGAGCACGTTGGGGGGTGGAGGGAGGTGGCTGACCAGGCTTCCAGGTTTGGGTGGATGAATATTCCTTTGGGCTGGAGCATTGTGGAGTGGGCAAGGTGGGGGGGAGGGAATCACGAGTGGTTAGGAGACCCCGGCTCTATTTTGGTCTGGGTGACCTTGAGTCAATGCCTCCATGCCTCAGTTTCCCTTCCCCCTCCCCCCCACCCCTGTTGCCGGGCTTAAAGAATTGGTGATGCATTTGTTGGAGCCTGTCATTCCAAAAATTCGAGACTGTCATTCCTGGGAGCAGCTGTTGATGGTGGTGGTTTCTGGCTTGGCTGTGCTTGTGTGACTGGGGGACAGCTATGGTGTGCGTGTGAGGGGCTTTGCTGGATGGTGTTTGGGTCACTCTGGGCAGTGCTGGGCCGGGCCATGGACCACACAGTACGGCCTCCAGGCAAACTGAGAATAGTAGAGGCAGGAACTTAGCCAAGGTGGCCTGGTGTTGAAGCATGGGATGGGGGTGAGGGCTTTGGGCATATGGGGTGGGGGTTCTGAGAATAGGATCCCTCCAACTCCCCACCCAGACTGCCTGGCACCCAGGCACCACTGGCAGCGAGTGCTAAAGCTCCACCCTGGCGCCCTGCCACCTTGCCTTGGGGACAAGAGGGTCTTTGTCCGGTGCCTTCCCCAGTCTTGCTCCTTCAGTCCTTTCTGAGGTGGCTTGTTCTCTGTGATGACCTCCCCCAGGGCTGGGGTGGAGATGTGAGTCCCTCATCTGGTTCTTGCCATCTGTGCCCTGGGGACTTGTAAGAGAATCTGTCTCTTGTCTCAGATTTGCTTCCTGGAGAGGGGACCTCAGTCGGGGAGGGGTACAGGGCTGGATACTGGGATGCAGGACCACCCTGATGAGGTTCCCCTTCTCCCTTTTCCCCTTAGGCTAGGGACCCGCCCTGGAAAAAGGGTTTAATTCAAAGCATTGATCCCTCCTTTGGCTATGGGCATCAATTGCCATGGTGTGGTCAGAGCTGCCAGAGGGGAGAGGGGTGGTGGCTGCTGTCTGCCCAGCACCAATCATAGCATCTCCTGCCAACACTCCACCTGCCTGGGAAATACTCAAGAGGGAAGCGGGCAGGAGCCTTTGAAGGACCTGGTCTGTTTGCAGCCCCCTCCTTACTCAGGTCTTAGAGGAAGAAATAAGGTGGGGTTAAAGATTTGAACCAAGGGAGCTGGGTTTAAGGTTCTTGCCTGCCATCCTGAGAGGTGGGCTGGGGTTTGGGCTGGCTGGCAGGAGGCCTGTGAAGGGGAGCCAGGGGTCAGTTGGGGAGGCCTGGGGGTGCAGGGGCGGGTGGGGAGTTCAGAGAAAAGCTTGGAGCTTGCCATTAAGGCTTCTCTTTCGAGGAATCCCAGGCACTATCTCCTGGCAAGGTCTGACTTCTCCCTCGGTTTGGGTTCTCCTGGCCCAGAGAGGGACAGAAACGGCCTCCTTGGAGGCCCAGCCAGCCCTGGGTCTGGCCTCTAAACCCATCTCCCTGACTCAGTGGCCCCTGCCTGGGCTGGAGGGCTCAGGGTGAGGCGCCTGGCAGCCTGGGCTCTGACCTCTGAGTGGCAGGGGCAGGTCATGCCCCCCCCCAGTAGAGCCTGCTTGCTGTGGGTGGGCTGGAGCAGGTGCAGGCTTCAATGAGCCACTCAGACACTCTTTGAAGAGTCCCTCCTCGGCTTCCCAGGGTCCATTCGAGCAAAGATAATAAAAATCTGGCCGTCAGCGGGTTTGAGGGCTGCACCCGCTTCCCCTTCTTTCATTCCCAGCTCTGAAAAGCCGAGATGAAGGCTTTGGATTTGGCTGGGAAGCAGCTCCTGCCTGCCCCGAGGGAGGGGGGGAGGGAGGCAGGGGAGAAGGGAGGCCTGATTTCCTGGCAGCCCCAGGAATTACTAGGGAGGAGGGTAGGGGCAGGGCCCCCAACTCCTGCCAGCCAGCTAGGCTCTGGGCTCTGATGCCCAATACCCAGACTCTTGCTTGTCTTCCAGTTTGGGAGGCCTTAGGCCTGCCTGTGGTCTCAGGGAACCCCTCTCTCTGATCTACTGCCCACAGTCCTTTCTAGAACCTTCAGTCACCCCCC